TAAGGGCTTGTGGATGAATATTATCTAAACCCGGTGATGAGTTCTTCTTCAAAGCCAGGATCTTTACCTTTATCCTTTCGGGAGAAAAAATGATGTTTGCCAGTAATGGGTAAGGAATATGTTTCAGCAAACGGGGAAGTACGAACCCAGTGTTACTAGGCTCATCGACCACTTGACAGTACTGTAGTCTAAACATTTCTGCAGCCTCCTTGGTTGTCGCTGAAACACGTCCTGCTGAGTTTAGTATCGGAACGCCGTGTTTGACTTTCCGGGAAGCGTTTTCTTGTTTATACAGTAGCTTAGGGTTTGCGATAAGTTTCCTCGCCAGCATATCGTAATAATTGTGCTTGTCTTCCGGCACCAAATTTGTACAGTGGTTCCGAATGAGCCTGTAAGCTTCCCAAGTGCTGGGGCATGGAAAGTGTTTGAACTCCCTCCCAATGAAAGTCTTTTTGCATTATACATTTCCTAGTTCGACTGTGAACTGCTGATTTTCGAACAGTCGGTTGGCATAGACGCTTGACAGTTGTAGCAGCAGCCACCAATGTTGTGATGCTGTTAGTAAATTTTCTCCAGGATTCCAGGGGATTGCAGCCTATATCAGGGGAGATCCACTGGATTCCATGAGCCAGACTGTTTAGTCCTGCATAGTCGGTTATGCTGCGAAAGCGATCCAAAGAAGCTGTTATTACTGATGCATAGCAGACGTATTCGAACAATAATGCAGTTTGATTACTGCGCCCCAACGGAGTTGCGATTGCAATTGATCAGACCATCAATTCTTCATTTGTCAGTACTGTATCCAAAGTTGACGAAATTTGGTTGGTTCCAAACCTGGTGGTTTTCTTGCCATGATTGTACAACGGATGTGGCTGGATAATTTGCATGAATTGTCGTTCAAATGGCATGCATGAGGTCGTCATGTTGCTCAGATTCGGGCAGTTGAAGTCACCCGTAATTGGAACGTGGGTGAAATCAAATGACAAAAGTAAGACATTGTTTGCAACAAAGTCTTATTGGATGAATGTGTTGACGAACGAGGGCGACAAGTTTAAAACTGATACGTCATCGAATGAGCAGAAAAGATTTATATCTTTGATAACATAACACTTATTCGAACAAAAACATTGTGTCACTCCAACCCACACACATTCCAGGTCATCTACAACACAACAAACACAAAGTTAATGAAATTTACCGAGGCTCTAGTCATTTATACTCTGAAACCCGATCTATGCAAGCAACGTGAATGGTTAGTCACATTAGCTTTGCTCTCTCCTATTCTTGTGTTACTGTGTCGTGTTGTACGTTTTGATTGGCGATCATGTCTCCATCTCACGGAAATTATCTTACTGACTATAAAAATCACTTTGACAGCAGTGTGCACGTGTACAGATGCAGCGAAATGACCATGGCTGCATTGTACAAACCCATGTTTCTGACTTCTCTGTTCATTGTTGCAATGTGTTGCAATGGCATAATTTAGACACAGTAAACGAGCTTGTTTACCAATTTGTTCTCATTATGTACTCCATGGAACTGTTAAATGATCATCAAATCGCTCTGATAAACTTGTGCTGCTGATGAGATGGAACCAGGCCGAAACATCTATCCGATCCAGTGTTTCGTTGCTTTTCAATTCACATTTCATTTGCTTTGTACACGATGAGAGTCACTAAATAATCAAACCAAAACTTTCACCACTCTCGCGAGCAGTGGAGAAATCGTATAATATCCTGAATACGATCTACTCGACGTAACCATTAATCTCAATCATCGATGGTTCAGCTGAGGGCGTTTGTTCAATCAATGTATATTAGGAAATTTGCAGCTGAAACTGCGGCTACTCGATCAGTTCACCCACGGTTAGTGGAACTGCCTGTCCTGCATTGTGAGTGTCCTTACCGGGGTACGGGGATGGAATAAAAGACACCTTCGTTGGTTAACAGCAAAACAGATGAGCATTACTTCACTGCATGATCCACGCTGATTTGAGAGGGGAAGGGGTGGGAAGATTTCGCCAAAACCAATTGACTTGTCCACAAAAAAATCTCACAGATGTTCATTAGTTAGTTATCACAGAGTGTGTACAGAGTTTGTTCTCATCACACACGGTTTACTCGCAGGTAGGATTAATTGACTGTTTAAAAGTCAGAAGGAAACGGGTATGCAGTGTTTCATTTTGTATAAATATCTATATCTGAACGTAGAGTGACTGGTCTTGAAGAACATTGGATTCCTAACCATCAGGTTTATATTTTGGGGGGGAGGGAATGCAAATATTCGAGTGCTTGTCTCAGATCTCAGCTCCATCCACCCACCCACCCCCTACCATGCCCCCGTCTCCTTTATGCTCAGAAATAATTCGGATGTTGAGCTGAAACTATACGCTGGATAACTCACACAAAAACAAGCGGTTCATCTTCTAGCGATAACGTACTGACGCTTCTTTTGCGACAATAGCATGGTCCGGTCAAAGGACTGGTAATACGCGTGAGGGAATTTTAAACCAGTTGGAACTGAACAACTGCACACAAACGACAGCACTATTTTACCTATCGATTATCAAATCATATAATCACGGGAACACACGCTAAGTACTTACTATTCAAATTTTTCTTTTGGTTCCAGCGATTGTGTCGCTTATGCCACCGTGAACACGCTTACCAGTCTTCTGGCCGGCTTGGTTATATTTGCCACTCTGGGACACATGGCTCTGTTGGCCAATGTGTCTATCGACCAGGTGGCTGAGTCCGGGCCAGGATTGGCATTTGTCATTTACCCGAAAGCACTCGGGTTGATGAAAGGCAGTCCATTCTGGTCGGTGTGCTTCTTTCTCATGATTTTGCTATTGGGAATCGATAGCCAGGTAAATGTGCATTGTATTGTATGGTATTCAAAGTCAAAGTTTTATTATGGGCATTACTTACAAGCAGATTCTTTTCTTATCCCACAGGGTCTTTACACGAATTGAACTGTAACAATGATGATTAAAATTCCATATGCTGTATTCGGTTGTCTTATGTGTGCTCATGGATGTTGGAATGTAATGTGTGTTAATGATTCGTCAAGTTTTACCTTGAAAGAATAAATGGTACCGGCACAAACGACACGAGATGACAACGTCAGAAGTGGGTGACAAGGGTGGTTTGGGCTGTTTAATATTTGACACGCTAAAATCAAGTCCCCTCGAATCCGACGATACTGAGCAGAGNTTTGTCGACGCTCCAAAATCTTATGATTACGTTGGAACCATTGTGTGTGTGTGCTGTTGTGGCCTTGTTCTCATCTATTCCGGTAAAATCGTTTATTGCGGTAACATTGATGAAGCGCTGAATGGCAGAGTTAATTACGGGATTGTACATTGGTTGTGCGTTCGGTTCGCCAACACGCACACACAAAGCCCGTTCCA